AGTAACCTCAGGTTCTTCCTTGATAGCCCTGTACAAAAACGCGCCAAGCTACGAGATGGTCCTCTGAAGGCTTCTCTCGCATGGCGACAATCTAACATCAAGTTCCACCTAGCCCTGTGCTGGGTTTGGGTGTCTTGAGTTATTAGGTTGTTTACAGTTTTAACTGTAAGTGAAAGAGCCGGCTCTGGACCATAAAACGCCTGTTTTGAGGCCAGTCGGGCTAATTTATCGGCTTTCTCATTACCTTCCGTTCCAGCATGCCCTTTGACCCATACGAGCTCAAGGGTGTTGCTGCTTGCTACTTGCTCTAGTACGTGGTGACATTCGGAAACCATCCTAGAGGTAATTTTACAGTGACCAAGTGACTGCAAGGCAGCCCTGCTGTCACTTGAGATTCTGATAGTTTTGTTCTTTATGTTATGCATAAGAACTGTTCTTGCACTAAGCGTTAATCCTACCAACTCTGACTGGAATACAGTAGGAAGTTTACCTAGTGGTTGGGTGATATGGAAGTTCAGTTCTTTGGAGTAAATACCAGTGCCTGTACCTTCCATTGTCTTAGATCCATCCGTGAAGATGAATATATCTGGTTGGGATGCCATATTCTCATCAAAGAAGATGTGATAGTTTTTCCCTAATATGAATTGAGGAGTGAGTGAGTCCGATCTCCCCTCTAGGATAGGCAGACGCTTGATCGCTGGGTCACGTCATACTCTTTTCAGTTAGACCCAGTTTGACCCAGTTTGACCCAGCGACCCAATTTCACCCGGGGACCCAATTCGACCCAGTCACCTAGTTTGATCGAATAACGCAGTTAAGTCAGTGCCCTCGGTTCAAGTGTACAGATTATGAAATAAATGAAATGCTGGTTTGTTGAAAATAATACTCGATTGCTTGACAACTGCCATTTCTGTGATGTTTGCTTTAATACTGCCGTAAAAAACTTTCCATGTCCCGAATTGTATTAGAATAATGTTATTTCTTTGCTTCAGGGCTTACCAGTTTGCTTACAGGTGTTCATTCACATTTAATTTTTTTCTACTAGTTAGCTTAATCCAAATAAATCTTTTCTCTAAATACTTTCATTGACTACTTGACTACAAACTATAAACAAATGCATTTGATTTTTTTAGGTATTAGTTCTCTTGAATGAAATTGGGCTAAGTGCTTGTTGTCGAATATTATTGAGGAAGTTTTTTTTAAAATTAAAAGTTACTTGAAATTGTTTTGGATGATACCTAACAATAATTTAATTACTGGGCCTCCGGGTCAAGACGGGTCACTGAGTAAAGCTGGGTCAAGATGGGTCTCTGAGTCAAGCTGGGTCACCGGGTCAAGCTGGGTCACCGGGTCAAACTGGGTCACCGGGTCAAGCTGGGTCAAACTGGATCACTGGGTCAAGCTGGGTCACCGGGTCAAGCTGGGTCACTGGGTCAGTAAACTAACTGGTTCACCGGGTCACTGGGTCACTCTATGCTTGACCCAGTCCAACTCTGCTGCAGAGGATGCGGTAAGTTCATCAGTCTCCTTTTCATAATGTTCCAAACATGCTCGATAGGCGATATACTGGGAGATCTGGGTGGCTATGGCAAGAAATTGACATTCGGCCCTATGCTGTATCACTATCGTTAAGAATAACGATATCGTTATGCGGCGTTACCATAATTTTTTAAAAATCGGTATGCTGTATCACTCGTAGCAAGTGTGGGATAACGACTATCGTTATTTTGCAACCATAACCAGAAAAACTTAACGACAGGGTTCATGCTACCCGTTTGGGGCGTAACGATCCTCTCAGCGATTCGTTTGGAGTTTAAGCGGGTGTTAAAGAGAAAGAAAATGAATAATTTTCAAGGATTTTTGCAAGTAGCTTTGTTTGGGCAATTGGAAAATGTAATGAGGTGAGTTCTGTGTCTTTTAATACTCGTAGATTATGTTCTTATTGAGACATGAGGAAAACATCCAACGAAGAATTTTACGAGGCAACAGCGATCCGTTTCAGCTGGGTGAAATTGATTTTCAAAAAAATTTCGAGAATCTGTAAGGCAGTATTTTGGTCCATTTCCGCTGGCAAACTCCTGCACAAATGTTTGATTTTGTTTGCCTCCAACGGTTTTGTCTTTCCGTGGAGGATTATTTACTTTCAATAAAATATAACAAGTCCTCAAATTGTTTCCTAGTGGTTTTTTCCGCCTCTTATTATTCTAAACAACTAGGTATAGGTACACGTACAATTAATACAAATAATTTTAAAGAAACGTCTGCATTTCCAAATCTGGCGGGCATTTGTTTAAAGATAAAGCGCGCACCACAACGCCCTCTTATATTTTATCGCTGTGGTATTTCACTCTTACACGCACTGCCGTTGCGCAGCGTTCCTTGTCTTCTAGAATGTGACACTTTTTTCCGAAATAGCCACTGCGAGATACCGGGCAACGTTACGATACCGTTAAAATATTGATACAGCATATCGCGTTTATCGATAGTCGTTGTGGTCATCATAACCTTTGATCGTGAATCTGCGATAACGATTGATCGTATAGAATAACGAGAGTGATACAGCATAGGGTTGATTATCATGTGCAAATAAGTCCATAGAACGTCTTTCAATATGAGGATGGGCATTATCCTGCTGGAAAAGTGGGTCTTCCAACTGCTGAAGAAATGGAAGAATATCGGGTTCTATCACGTCATCCACATATCACTGGGGGGGTCATATTACCTCGAATGAATAACAAACGAGCCCTACTCCCATAAGTTATAGTACCCCATACCATAGTTCCCACAGCTTAGTGCACATGCCTCATAAATTCAACATTGCGACGTTCCCCACGTCTTCGGCTGCCCTTCATATACGGCCATCATGCATACCCAAACAAAATCGGGATTCGTCGTGGTAACAAAAGATGTGGCCGATAGGATTCCAGGTCGTAAGCTCTGATTTTGCGGTAAACCGTTCGAAGTGTTACAGGACGACCTTCGTTAGCTAACAATTGATCGGCAATTGACCTGGTACTAGAGAATCGGTCTTTTGTTGCCATAAATCAAAGATGGCTATCCCGCACTTCAATTGTTCTTTTTCGCCCCCCACCCTTTCCTGTCCCCTTCCTTTCCTCTCTACGACGATCCTGCCCCTTCCCTAATCCATGCCCGATTGCAGCGAATCATGGTGGATTGACTTCGGTTAAGGTGACTTGCAATTTTTGTGAACGAAAAACCACCTCCGCCCAAACCAACAACATGACACCTGTCAACTCCTCTTAATTCGCGGTAATTTCCACTTTGGCGTATCTAGGCATGATCACAGCCTCAAAAGAAACGATTAAAAGCGAAAACAATAAGAACTGATCAAAATCTCGCAAAAAGTACACGATATAAGAATACTAGAAAAAAATGAAAGAACTGTCAAATAAGCCATTACCACTTGATCCATATGAATGAAATTTTAATCAATTGTTACCTTTTAGTAGTTAAATGTTTCTGCCAAGTTTGGTCAAAAAATTCCAACTCCTTCTTGGTGTTTCCATGTCACTGAGTATATAAAAAGCTTAAAAGGCGCCCGAACGACCGACAGTTCCTGAAACTATAAGCTCCCTTTTGGGCATCAAAAATGCCCAAAATTTCATTCTTCTACCACGTAGTACACAGAGAACAAACATGTAAATAAGTTATTTATGCATCAAGGGCATTAAGGCGATATTTATGCCGAGGGCGACAGAGCCCGAGGGCCTCCGGCCCGAGGGATTGTAAGTCGCCCGAGGGTTAAATATTGAGTAATGCCTGAGGTGCATACAACATTTTATTTTTCATCATTCCAAAGAATGCATTTCCAATATACAAATGTCATCATTATATTGTTTGCCCAACATTAAAGTGCTCCCATACGAATCAAGTTGCATCTTTTTGATGACATAATATAACTCCGTCAATCAATTTGACAGGCCGTTTGAGGGCATAATGAGATGACAATCCATTATGCCCTCTCATTATGCCCTTGGGCGTAATAAACTGCTTCATGTATCACATATGACAGATATAATTGACATATAATAGGCAAATGAAAAATAAATGAATTTATATCTATCTCTCTGCTTGTCTACTGTGCATTATCTGCTTCACCAGTCCACCATTCACCCGATCACTATGATACGTTGCGTTGGAAAGTTGTTGAGTGTATACTCTTGCAAGGTTTCTGTGATAGTAGGTACATCTATCCTACGAGAGATGGCGTGCGTGTAGTACGAATTAAAATTACCTATGAAATGTTTTCCCGATGAAAGTGAACAAGAAGTTTCACAATGATAATTGCTATTCGCGCAAGTAGGCCACCTTTTAATAAAACGAATGGAAAATTTCTGCGACGGTTATGTTTTTGGTTTATTCTGTGCATGCGCGATGCATGACATTATTCAATGGACGCGGCACATTTAGGTAGAGATCAATTTAGAGAAATAGAATGCCTACTTATCGGTACAACATGGAATTACTGATACTGAGGTAAATGTATGATTTGTTTAACGTAGGTAGGTATTTCAGATCTTTTTAATTGAGAAGTTATATTTCTCATCGTATAGGTACCCAAATTCAGTTTAAATGATAATAAAATGCCCATGAACTGTGTATTAACGGTTACGTTTATTGCGCAATTCTACGGGACCTGTTTTAGTAAATTTAACATGGCGATTGTTGGGCGAGTTCAATGGACTTTATTCAGAAGGAGGAGTCGCGAATAAATCGATAAAAGAAAAGGTCACACAAGGTCAAACTATGGCATCTTAGTAAATAACTTTACACACGTTCCTACTTGGTGTTCACGTATTACGCATTAAATTAATCGGTTTGACCTTGTGACGATTAAATTATTTTGTGGGGCGTTGGACTTTCTCATTTTCTCCCACCAGCTGTGCGCGCACAGTCGACCTTGAATAACCCCCCATTAGTGATCCCTCCGGCAAAGGAGGCGCCTTTGTTACCCCTCTCCCGGACATGCATCGTTCGTCGCGTCTTACAAACAAAGCGGCAGCAAAGCAACAACGAGTGTAGGTTGATTAGTGCAGTTCGTTTCGGTTCGGTGGAATTCCTAAAATAGCGTTTAAATAATAGTTTTTTTCACCACCATGCGTTATTTGTGTCGACTGTGTTCGAGCACCGATAAGATTATTGACGTTTATCATTCACAATTAGAAAGTGGGAAACAGCTGCGTCGATACATTTGGTTAGCGAGCGGAATTGAAGTAAGTTGGCCGCGTAAGGTGCTTTCCTTGCCCTTTCCGATTTTCAAGTGCGACGAGTGGAGACTCGCGCGCGTGTTTTTGACCTTTAACGGCATCCAATTTCATGTTTTAATGTTTCATTCAATGTTGGACGTAAAATTGTGTGCGCGTTAATCGATGATAAAACCGAATTTTTAGTGTAGCGCTTTATTTGTCTTGACGTAAATTATTGTTAGCATAGTAACAATTTAGCCATCACGAGCCTCCAGATGCATAACCCGTCATCTCTTGTTCCTATTGACTTATTTTCAGTGAGCAAATTTATAATTAAAAATCGCTATAACGAATCGATTACCGTTTCATTTGTCAATATATAAACCGAATTTAATACCTGGATGTAAGTATGTTCTTTTACAATACGGAACATTTTATCAAAAACCTATTAATTTTACAAAGTTTTTTGAATTTCTGCAACTTTTTAAATTATGTTAAAGAGTTTGAATTTGGAAATTATCTATATTTTTTAGATCACTTTGAAATCTTTAAATGATTTTACACTTTATTAACGAACTCCTAGCGAGTTTATAATTTTGCGGTGTCTGTCCGTCCGTCCGTCCGTTAGCACGATAACTCATAAACGAATGGACCGATTACGATGAAATTTTGCAGGTGGATTCTTTATCAAATTTGTAGATCGGAGTTCGTGAATTGGCAATGTAGACCAAAAAATAAAGTAGGCCCTTTTGACATCTCCGTTAGTTATGAACCGAATTGCATGAAATTCAATATGCGCATAGCTTTAGCCATATAAAAAACAATTCCAAAAGTTGAGCCCAATCGATCAGTACTCACAGTGCTCTGCGCATCTCGACCATTTATAAACCGAATTGCAAACTTTCTTATTTATGAAGGTATTTAAATGAAGTTTGACGCATAGCCACTTGAAATAAAAGCAAATGTAGCGCCATTTTCCAAATTTGGTTTTGTGTAGGATGTGCAGTGCCAACTTTCTTATTTATGGAAACAATTATTTAATTGTTTCATTTTGAAATTTCATACGTATACACTTTAAATAAAAGCAAAACTAATCAGGTTTAAAATTTGGTTTTGCACATGCTATGGCCATACCCAGGAGCTCGTTTGCTATATTTGTTTAATTTATTTTGAAGTCATTTGGTAATGTCCATAAGTTTTTTCTTTATATTTGTTAATTTTTTTCATCAAAATGATTCCCAAATTTATAAACTTCAAATGTTCTTAACCTTAGGAAAATTACAAATCATATTTAGATGTATTTACCGAGGTTTTTACATTCTGTTTAAAACATTTTTGAGACTGAAAAAATCTTTGCAATCTTGATAAATTTTTATTTGATCGTTTTATTTGAATTTTTCATAAATCAGTCAGTTATACGCTGGACCCAAGATAAGGATGTATCTATCTTGGGATTTCAGAAACCATAGAAAATACGAATATGGTCAAATTAGGGAAATTAAAGAGTAATTATCATGCTGTAAAGAAAACCAGAAAATTTCGATTAATTCTGAAGATACAGCAGAAAAACCGAAATTTGCGGATTTGCTTTTTGTTTTTCCTGATGTTATTTGAACAGTTACAAAAAAATAGAAAACACTTTCTCACTGTCACTTTTTGAACTTTGACAAATTTTCAATACTTGCCTTTTGTTTGGGAGTAGCATTTTTAAGGCATTTTTGAAGAATTAAAAAAAAATATGCTATTGTTTGCGTTTCTACTTCTACCGTTTTGAACTACTTCTAGCGGAATGGTCCTAGAGTCCTGGAATTGTTTGTAGTAGGTAGCCTATACCTTGAAGGTGTGCCAGACGGTCATCAAATTTCGCTGTCTAAAAGGGGGCCCGTCCCACGAATTATTTCGTGAGGTGCTGTTTTTGAAAGTAAAACGTGCATAACATTTACATACGACAACCAATTGGTCTCAGATTTTGCATACGCATGCCTTTAGTGGTAGTAAGTTAAACTTTAGAAAATGGAGGGGGGGGGGGCATGTTCTACCTCGTGTTCTACCCTTCATGGTATTCTAATGAAATCATCGAAATAAATTGGTTTGTACAAACTATAACTTTCCCGTGCGACTCTTTTTCGAGATCAGTGAGCGACGGGGCCTGAGGGGGGAGAGGGGGGGGGGTTAAAATTAATTTTATCTCTCATTGTATTCTAATTAAAGGTCTCAACGAAAGGAACCGTTGCCGTTTGCCGTTCTTTCTGTCCTCTTATCAAAGTACGGGGGGGGGGGGGGAGTGGAACTAGTTTTATCCTTCATGGTACTCTAATGAAAGGTCTCAACCAAAGAAATTAATTTCTATCAACCATAGCCCTCCTTCTCGACATCTTATCGTGATCGGGTATATTTCCTTATACCTCAAAAACGGCGGAAGAGGGTACTCACAAAGGGCGATTGAGACGTCTGCAAGAAATATATCCATTGGTGATGTCAAAACAAAAGCTATTTCGGTTTAAAAAATGCGCTTTATCTGCACATGAGTTTTTATTTTATTTTACCTTTATTTTTGAGTGGGCGGGGTTTCAGCCAAGGCTGCTCTACCAACCCAACCCACTTTACATTTACAAATATCCATGCCCGAACCCAGATTCGAACCAGGAACCCTTAACACCACAGTCCAGCTTTAACTGAACTGCGCCACACGGGCCGGTACAATTTATAAAGGGTCTTTCAATATGAGTGATAGTTTTTCAAATAGAGATTTCTCGGTTTCTAATCCATATTTTTTTAATTTCTAGGTGTTACTATATTTAGTATAGTGTACAGACTCCCCTCGATCGGTTGGAAGTAATAAAAAAATATTACCAAAGTGGTAGCTCAGTTGTGGCTACTCGACGTTTACTCACTCGGGAATTGGGTCGCCGTCATCGGTACTCTGCGCAGGTTATAAGTCGCACTGTGAAAAAGTTTGAAAGTGAGTTAACTTTACAAGACAATAAGCTACCAAAAAGCCAACGAAACGTGCGAAGTGATGAGAACATTGCAGCTGCAGCGGCCAGTGTTGTCGATGAGCCAAATTTGTCGATAACACGAAATTGGAGTGATCGGATGCGTCAGTGTCAACGAGCCCGTGGTGGACATTTGAACAATATCTTATTCCACACATAACTGCATTTAGACCGGGAGATGGTGACACTTTTTGTGGTGTGATTTGCTACAAGTATGGCGACCATTCAAAACGAAAATGGTGCTAACTCTCTGGGAGTGGGGCCGTTATTGCGTGACGATTGTTTAAACATGTCGGAAAATTGAATGATTTTGAACAATTTGCTACACAAAATTCTTTGGATTTTCTGATAGTCGGTGACATGACAAAACAAATGACGGAAACGAAATGCCATACTTTTCCGGTGGGCCTTATAGCCCGCCATACTCATTTGAAAGTATCGATTGTTTGTATTTTTTTTGGGTGATTTGCTACAAGCTCATTTTTTTATGAGCATCAAGTCCTCAATCAGTCATTCACGAAAATCAACCTGCCATACCGCAGCGACGGGCCCGCATAGCCGCCATACCGGCACATGTCATTTTTGTTAATAATTTTGGACGATTTGCTACAGTATGGCACTTGGATTTTCCGAAAGTTCGTGCTCCACATTGACCCATGATATATGTGCCATACTCGTCTTGAAGGCTAAAGATGGCGCCATACTCGAAAATCTGTTTTCTTAAAACATCTTTGTGCTATAACTGGGACAAGCAAGAAACCTTGAAAACGACCTTCTCGCGAGCTTCAGAAAAATGATTTTATTATTAAAAATTGGTAACACAATCCATTCTAAAGAATAATTGTTCTAAATTGATTAACTTATCCCGACAAGATCGTACTCGCGTTTAACAATTACTCGTCATCGGTATCGGATTCCTCAACATCGTCATGGGTCTCTTCTGTTTCGTTCCCATTGCCCTCGACACTACTCAAATCGATTTGATTTTCATTCTCTTGGTCAATGCGATCCAGAATGATATATCCGACAGTAGTGGGCATGTCGTCGCCGTCGAACCAATTAAATTCATAATTATCTGTGTGCGTTAACTTCCATCTGTAATATTCAGGACTATAATAATATATAAAATATATAAAATTATGTTGATGGGTATTTCAGATGCACAGTGCCAACTTTCTTAATTATGAAAGCATCTAAATGAAATTTGATACCTATATGCACTTAGAGGTGCAAAATTTGGTCTTGAACATGCTATAGCCATACCCAGGAGCTCGTTTGCTATATTTGTTTAAACGTTTATTATTATTATTATTAGTGTTATTTTAATTTGTATAATGTTCAAATTTTCATCGTTTCTTAATTCGAAATAAATACAACTGCCCTGAAAATTTTATCAAAATTGATCAAAGTCACTGGGTGTTCAGATACTTATGGCGGGTAGTATAAACTTGATGGCAGCTACTACCTACTACCTGCGATCCATTGAATGCAATGCAGAACACAACGACCCCGACCGGGACCTCTTCAACTTGACTAAGAAGTTCGAGTGGGGCGGAGAATATTAAGCGACATAACATCTCGTGATAACACAAGATAGGCCCGGGATTCGTGTTTGAAACTTGATATTTACTTTTATTACACCTCAAACTGTCACGAAACATTGGTGCCATACTGTAGCAAATCGCCCAAATTTTCGGAAAATTCTTACATTTTTGAAAAAATATTATACATAATTGGCCCATGCCACAGGTATGGCGTATCGAACTTTCTATTTCTGACTATAAAAATAACTGGTGGAAAAATTTATAGGGTGTAGAAAATCGCCCAAAATTATTAACAAAAATGACATCTTTGTGCCGGTATGGCGGCTATGCGGGCCCGTCGCTGCGGTATGGCAGGTTGATTTTCGTGAATGACTGATTGAGGACTTGATGCTCATAAAAAAATGAGCTTGTAGCAAATCACCCAAAAAAAATACAAACAATCGACACTTTCAAATGAGTATGGCGGGCTATAAGGCCCACCGGAAAAGTATGGCATTTCGTTTCCGTCATTTGTTTTGTCACCGACTACCAGAAAATCCAAAGAATTTTGTGTAGCAAATTGTCCAAAATCATTCAATTTTCCGACATGTTTAAACAATCGTCACGCAATAACGGCCCCACTCCAGAGAGTTAGCACCATTTTCGTTTCGAGGAGTACTTAATTAAACCTTTGAATGGTCGCCATACTTGTAGCAAATCACACCACAAAAAGTGTCATCATCTCCCGGTCTAATTGTCCAAGCTTAAAAATAAAGCAAGAATTAACTTGATATGTCAAACCTTTGTTGTGTTATTCAAAATTAACATCCTATCATTCTTAATGAAAGACCCTTTACTTGTTTATTATGTATACAACGTATGCCACTAAAAAAAAACAAAAGTTGGAAACTGTAGCTTTCAACAAGATGGTGCACCACCCCCTAACCCTGCGAGAATACCTAGCGGAGAAGTTTTCCCTCGAGTTTTCCATTTTTCAGGAAGTGTACGATTGGGGCGTTGTGCGCGAATGCGTCATCCTGTTGAAACCAACAGTTTCCAACTTTTGTTATTTTTGTGATCAGATAACATTGGATATTCTTAAGATAACACGCTAGATTTCTCCGAAACGAAACGTTGTATAGAAAATCTCTCCGTCTTGTAGAACTTAGTTTCCTAGCTGAGCTATTAATAGCGTACTCTTATTTAAAATGATTACTGATTTTAATTGTTTCGAGAGCGTACAACTTTCAAAAGGGGAAAGTTTTAATTCTTATGGATCACGATAATTCACGATTAAATCTTGATTTTAATGAGTCTATTTGTAGCCCGTAATTAACTAATTTTTTTTCATGAATTCTTGCGCGCATTTGTCGCTTGTAATTACTTTTGAACGTTTTTTCAAAATACATAACAACTCTGTGTCTTTTTGGTAGAAATATTTCACTGTATATAGACTCCGAAATTCACATAATTCTCACGGTCAACAAGGTAACGCCAACGACTCGGCTTATTTAAAACGTAATCTTGGCCCCCAAAATCGAATGCTCGAAAAAATCGCACCTTGGACCTCACTTTATGTACGATGATCCCAATCCGAGTTCCTTCCGATTTCCGAATAACTCCTATTTATCTTTTCTAGTTCATTGACGCCCCTAAATGGCACTCAGAGCGAGTATAACGATGGGCATTCCTTAAAATTGCCAACATTCCAACGTCATAAAAATATTAAAAAAATAAATCCAATATTATCAATAACGTCAATAATTTTATATTTCAAGGTAACCAAGGATAAACAACATAGTGTAGTGAGGTAAACTTATTATTCGAGATCTATCACGAATAAATAGTGTCAAAAAATAAATAACGCGTTCGAAATATCAACTTGGATGTAAATTTATTACCGTAACAGGAACTCTTATCTCTGTACATATACCTAAACCACATTGAAAATCTTGAACTTGTTATCTACATTAAACATACATCCTTCGGAAGTGGTACTTTACATGATAGCGAAATCAAACAAATGTCCGCTGGATGCTATAGTTATTGTGAAACAAGATCAACAGTATTGAAGTGGGGATGACTAATTCACGCTTAATACATACTTAAAGTCATTAAAGATGTATGAACTTACCAGAGAGGACTGATTTTGCTTGCAAAATGCCGTTTTCTATGAATTAGAAAGAGAATAAAAGAAGAATTGGTTTGTCTACGTGAAAGTTCTAAGTCAATAGTCTTCGGCAAAACGCTTGTCCTTGATGTACAGAAACTAAACTCTGCTCAATTGGAAGTAGTAGGGTTTAAATACTTTTTATGCTCGTTTGTACCGACAAATTTAAGCGGAGCTTAGCTTAAGAGTAGCTTAAACTCCATGGCAACCATTGTCTCAATAATCGTTGTCATGGATTTTAAGCTAAGCTGTAAGCTCCACTTAAATTTGTCGGTGCAAACCGCCATTAATCATTTATTATTGGTTTTCGGTAAATAATAATAATAATAGTCGTTTATTGAGTTGCCGTTTACAAGTTTATAAAAGTATCTAAAAAATAATTTATGTGACAACCCAAAAGGGCGAAGTTCAGATTGGTACGGCATCCATACCATCTGTTCTGGTGAGGGTAACGAATGTAGTTTTGAAAAATCTTGCCCTAAAAATGGTCAGAATTTCAGAATTCGCCTCAGAAAAAAGTCCCTGGTTCAGATTACTATCCTTTTATTCAACGAACTACAATAAGTACTTCATTTGAGTGCAGACTCCTACTGCGTTATTTTCCTTATCAGCATGCCTTGCACTTATTTAAGTCATTAATCCCTTGTTTATAGTCACGTATTTAGCACCTTATCGTGATAACGACCTGCGATAAGTATCATTATCACATTACGCTTTTACATAATTTTATTTTACACAAAAATTTCTAGGGTAGAAGCTAATCATTTAATCGCGTTTTATTAACAATGGTTCATTAGAAAACACGTCAATATTTTATATGTGTACCCTCGTGTGTACCTGTATTACCTCGTGTATTACTTTTCAAAGGTTTTTTGATGGGTTTCCATTGCAAATTCAAACTCAAAATTACTACGTTTTGAATATATTAATTAAATAATCAAGTGCTGCAAGAGTTACAATTTACATGGCTCTTTATAAGACTATTTAAAATTAAATAAATATTAAATACAGTCGCAGTAGGCGAGCTTCCAAAATATAAAACAAAATCATTAGCGGAAAAATAATTCCATTTTGCTTAAAAAATAAATAAAGGTACAAATTATCGAAATTAATAGATAAGTAACGGCAGTCGCTGGCACGCTGCTCTGTCGGCGGGCCGACAGCAAGAAACGGCTGAATGGACAAACGGATTCGAGCGCCACCAAGCGAACGGTCTCACTCCTGGTCGAGGTCGGTGGTAACAACGGTCTGACGGGTCGCATCGGTGTCCTCGGGTAAACGCAACCGGAAAACTAAAACAAAATTACGGCAAACTCCTGAGAAGCAAATGCAGGAAAGCGGACAATATCACCCCTTACAATTAGTGAAATAGAAAGTAGGTAATTAAAAGCTTACCCCGAAATTAACGAAGCGGTAGCAAAAGTTCGTTAAAAGTCAATTCCAATAAATACAGTGCGATAACTTAATGCAAAAGCAAGATTGAAACGGTACGGGTGCAAAGAAATGTAACTGGCGAAAGTACAGAAGCCAAAAACATTAAAATACGGTTAAAATATCAAAAAGCAAGAAAAACAAATATAATTTGCAAAAGTGAAAAAGCCGAAGATGCCCACTGCAGAAAGAGACGTAGGAAATTCCAAATCGGTCGGCGTGTCGTTGCGATAAAGCTCGAAAGTTAAAACTTCTTTAATTAATTGTGCGACCTGTTGCTGTCCTAAAAATCTGCAATTTATATCAAAATTCAAATTAATTAAAGTGCTTCGTTACATATTTTATACAAGTAAGTTCACGACAGTAAACGCTTACACATCAGTTCTAACAATGGATAGGCTTTTTGTACGCGCGAAAATATATTAGCGCCCTAATTCGATTGTCGTTGCCCGTATTCGAGTGGTTTTCATACAACTAGTTTACCCTGAGATTCACATACTCACGACTACAGTGCCCTCTATCCGTGACCACCCATTTTGCATTAAAACCATAGGGTTAATAGCAGTCCATGACCCATGTACTCTATGATCTAAGCATACCCCTTTCCTCATTTAAAATGAATTGCGCGCCAAGGCAAAATCTTTTTGATAGTCTTTTTTAATCAATATGAATGATCGATTCAAAAGTACGATTTCCCATGTAAATAAAAATTCCAAAGGTGACTCGACAGCAACACATTTTTGATCGCATAGTGCAACGGTCGCGTATGGTTTGAACCGAGCTTTGAACTTACCTGCAGTGTATCGTCTCGCGAATTATACGCCCTAGCCCTAATCCAAACAAACCCTTTTTCTTGATATCATTTATCATTTAAATTAATATACATTTAGTAACGCGTTTAGCGCAAATGAAAGTAAAATGGTTAAAAAGTCATAAAGAAAACTAATAAAGAAGCTTTGACACGAGTGGTATGTAGGAAATTACAAAAAAAATGTGACCGCATAGCAATATGCCTACATAGATTACTCATCTTTAGAGTATAAGTCCCTAACTGTATGTTTCTTTACAGATACTGTGGAATGATCCGATTTCCAGAATGGTGTGCCATCGTTGCTGTGAAATTGCAGTTAAATTGCATAAATATCGGAGTAACGCAGTTGCAAACGATAAGTTGCTCAAGGTCTGTAAATATCATTATTGTAATCCTTGTTGCTGATTATTAGCGTTACGTTCACAGGAAAAATATGGTCAGCCATATACGGCCCCGATCACAGATAAAGATGAGCTTCTGTCTGCCGCATCTAGAATTTTTAATCTATCTGATATCGGGACCATGAAAGATGACGCCGATCCCTTAGAATTACTAAACACATACATAAGTAACAAATCTGCAAGAAACGGTAAAGGCACCAAAGTAAACGTGGAAAACGTTAGCAAGGTTAAAGAGAGCGTTACTATAAAACCTTCAACATTATCTCCGCCGAATCAGACGCATGTAAATGCTTTAGATAATTTTAAGGACAAAACCACATCCGCGATAGAAAACGATAAAGCGGTAGTGCCTTTAAATAATGCCATAAAATATATACCAAAACCACATTCAGTTGTAAAATGTGATATTCCCAAGGCTATTCGGTCTCGTAGTATTACGCCTAATGCGGATACTGAAGTACATAAATCGAATACGATAAATTCTCATGACGACAAGGGTACTCCGAGATTATCACAATCTGAGATACATACTTACGCACACCCTTCAGTTAAGCAATTATTTAAGGAATATCAATCCATCAAACTCCCCAAAGAAGTATTTTCTTCAGATGTATCTCCTAGGATTTCTATAGATCCTACAGAAGTTAGTGATTGGTACACACAACAGCTTCAGAACCTAAAAGATAAACTAAAAACCATTTCGAGTAGTAATAGCAATCCTCTTAGCAGTTCTGATGATGAAGACGTTTCGAGACCTCGTTTGCGTAAACGTAAACATCAACGCATTATTGATTGCAGTGATTCTGAGGGCGATGATGAATGGCTACCATTCAAAATTCAAGCACAAGATGTCAAAAGTACAAAACCAACTCGGTTAGTAATAAGTAATTCTAATGCAACGGCTCGTAGCCCAGAAACTTCTCCTCAAATACCTAACTGTAGTAATGTTACTAGTGATTCTAACTACACAGTAGTAAATAGGTCTAATCCACCCAAACAACCCGGAAGTGCTGCCCTTAAATTAAAGATTATGAAACACCTACCACCACGAAAGCCTACCAATACGGAATCTAAGGAGTTTCTCGCCTCTGAACCAAACAGTCGAGTTTTGCAATCATTATTAACATCAAACGATCAAACGCTCGCCAATTTATATACAGATTTCAGCAAGTACGGAATTAACATTGAGAATTCAGAACCGCCTATTCATTATGAGAATGAGGGTGAATCTACAAGTTCTTTGACAGATATGGTCTTAGAAGCAATCGTAGGGCAGAAGCCTGAAGCAATAAAGCCCGTTGAGGCAACAGTAACTGTAAATAAAGTGAATGACGATATTATATGCATATCTGATGATGAGAATGACGCTGTAGATCAAAAGAAAGCAAATTCTGCCAGTTTTATAAATTCAAATGAGGAAAAAATGATACATTCGCTATTAAAAAAACATTTAAATCACAGACTAGCCAAGGAGAGTCAAACTTTTCATCCGAATGATTCCATAATACATCGTACTAAAACCAATTTAATAGCGTTACCAAACATGGTAGGTGAATTGAGGAGATATAAAATGCCTATAGATTTAAAGCATTCCGTGGGCAACGTGGCTCATTTCGAAAATAATTTAAATCATAATCCTCGGCCAACATTGGACAAGTGGTCCATAGAGGAGTGTACGAATATTTCCCTTGTTAAGATTCCATCATGTACAACTCAAACTGCTAATTTACTAAATAATGGAGTAGCAACAAATGCAAGAAACAGCAAACCACTAGGTTCATCATTGTGGAATCAAATGTTCGTTGATCGTATTACAAATGCTATCAAGAATAAATGTAATGATATTTCATCAAATTTAGGGAAGTCGAATCAAGTTACACCAAATTTAGTTAAATCGAATCAGCAAGTTACAGCAAATACAGGTCAACCGAACCATATTACTTCCAACCTGATCACGAATGCCATCCGTGATAAAAATGTTACCTCAGTTATTTCTCCATGTGTTGACAATGATGTAAACAGACAGAAACCTATTATTCTAAATGGTTCCAACAGTTTATCTTTACACTCCCTCCTCTATTCGGAAAAAACTAACGTTGACCGATCTCCAGACCCTGCTGCTAGGAGTAATAGTACAATTTCACCTTTATTACAAAATTATTTGCAAGCAAATACAGTGCCGAGTAATTGTCTTACACCTCCTAGGGAGAATTCTGAAAACTTGACAGCTACAATAATTCAACCTCCAAAAGACGTACCACAAGGTGATATGACTTCTAAAATAAGAGTTAAAAATATGTCAGAACTTTTATAAAACAGCTTAGTATTGTGAACTTTATAAGACTTAAGTATTTTATAATTATTTATAATTTGTTATATTGTTTTTTGCTGTATATTGAAGAAAATTTGTAAGTGAAAATTCCTTCTATTCCTAAAATAATTCTAAAGTAATAATTTTTTTATTAAATAAAATAATAAAGCAGCTTATATTTTATTAAACATTATTTAATTACATTTCAGCAAGGACTTTTCTGGATTCACAAGATTTATATAAAGTTGAATAAGTAAGTTTTTTTTTAATGAATTGCAGAAAATATGTGTTTTGTTCAGTACCAACGAAGTAGAATCAATCCCCCCCCCCCCCCCCATTTGCTTGATTTCATAGTATAAAAATATTTGTACAACAATTCGTTGCAAGTAAGACTAAACAAACAATTCAAAATTCCTATAGCCAGCTGAAGTGAAAGTGACATTGCCTATGCAGGGATCGCGTTTGGTGACGGAATTTACTTCCACTATAAAAAGTCAGTTGCAGTAGTAACGGGTGGTCACTTGGTAGTTTTGAAAAAAAAATTTTGAATTTGTTTTTTGTTCAACATAGGGAAATTGCACGTATACCGCTTCATAGTAAACATGAAGGAAAGTATGTCGGGAGATAACTCGCGTCTTTACAAGTGTGCCGTTTCAGATTTTCCAGTGAGCCGAAATTTAAATAGTCAACGCAAACATAGTAATAGTCGACAGTAAGCGCGAAAACTAGACGCAATTTTTTAAAAGTCCGACCGTGTCACTTTGCGTGGTGGCGCTTTTGAATCGCGCCGTGTGAAGGGGTCGCACTACAAGCAGAGCGCATTTGTGTGACGGAAATCCGCTACTAAACGTGTCGCTCCGTTTGAAGGCGTCCATATAATGCTACCAGCGGCGCCACTCTGCAGCACTTCAAAAACTAGTGAGAAGGGTTTCAGATTAGGTATGTACATGTTGATTTAGCAAAATGTGAGTCCTGTGACCAACGCTCAATTAACGTGCAGGTTATCTGTAGACAGTCAAAGTCAGTTTTGCCCATAACCCAAAACAACGTTTTTTCACATAACTTGTACGTTAAGTTTGACGTTTCTGATATATCACAAGGCTGATTGTAGTATTACTATCTAGGTATAATAATTTTGGATTAGTTACTGGCAATCTGTACAATTCAGGTATTCTATACATTCATAGGAAATGTGTATAATTATTGAGGGAGAGAAAAATAGATTTTTATACAGCCCTGGCAGAAGTAGTTTCCCTTCCCCTAAGTTTTAAAAGAAAATGCACCCCAAATTCATCAATGAATATTTTCTAAACAGACTCGGAATTGCATAGAATATGTACCTGAATTACACAGATTGTCGCCAACTACGAGTAAAAATTAAAGGAGAGAACTTTGCATTAAAAGGAATCGAGACGGAAATGGACAAAAAGGAAGTTATAAAAGTGCGAGAATATTATCTTTACGCACTTTAATTACTTTGATATGACAGACAAGAATATAAGCAAACACACTCTTTATTTGTAATGCAAGTACAAGACTAAAACCGACATCGTTATCTCAAAGCAAAAGGTACATCTTAACCACAGAACAAGTGATCTTAACTACTTTCATTATATACAGGATGCTCTACAAGTAAACATTGGATTACAATACTTATAATACCACCTCTTAATACAATGTTTAATTTAAATTAAATTGTTCAATACATAAACGATGTTTGTCACTTGGCAAACCTTTGGTCAAAACATCAGCTATCATTTTATCAGTTGGTACATAATCTACTTTGACAATGCCTTTATTTATAATTTCGCGTATGTAATGATACTTAGTATCAATATGTTTAGTTCGACTATGATAGACAGGGTTCTTGATAAGCTTTTGAGCACTCTGACTATCATTGTAAATAATGAAAGGTTTTTCAACAGTTAAAATCTCACCAATAAGACCCTTAATAAAAATAGCTTCTTTTACTGCTTCAGTCATTGCTATGTATTCTGCTTCAGTACTTGAGAGAGCTACACAACTTTGTTCTATTCTTTCTTTCTTTATACTTTACGCCTATCTGGGCCCATAACCTATTATCTTTACGCACTTTAATTACTTTGATATGACAGACAAGAATATAAGCAAACACACTCTTTATTTGTAATGCAAGTACAAGACTAAAACCGACATCGTTATCTCAAAGCAAAAGGTACATCTTAACCACAGAACAAGTGATCTTAACTACTTTCATTATATACAGGATGCTCTACAAGTAAACATTGGATTACAATACTTATAATAGAGAAGAGTGGGGAGGAACGCGTCATTATTGGCAGTGGTGTAATAAAACAAAACTGACATCGTCTCTTCGGTTTTGCGCAATGAATAAAGAATACCAGGAAGGAGAAAATCAACAATTTACGTGAGACCGCGATGGCTTTTGAAAATGGCGGACAGTAGTTTCCTGTTCCAGTGGCGTACCTACCTTACAGTTGTAGGATACAATTATTATAAAGAATTTTACACGAAAACAATCTAAACCCCCATGTGTCTACTCCGCCTATGACTTGTTTAACTAACCTCAAACTACATTTCGATAAAAAAATTGTAAATTTACATGTACTATATTAAAATAATATTGGTATCAATACTTACACATGAAATGTGATTCCCAAACTTTTATTTTTTTTCGTTTTGGAGCAACTACATGCACAACAACTAACCATTATTTTATGTCACTGCAAAAGTAACAACAAAAATGAGTCATAAGTGGCTTTTGCAAATGGCCGACTTCCGTCCCACTGTTGTATACAACCTGAGTAATGCTCCTTCTGGTATTCTTTATTCATTGGTTTTGCTACGTTTCCACGCTTCCGTTCAAAGCGGCATTCAACGGGCACGATCACGAGCATGTAAATGGGTTGCTCGCCTCTGCTTGCCTGCTTTTGCTTGTGCTCGTCACTGATCCGGACTAGTGTCGGTTTTTCGACAAAGATCAAAGGGTGAATCTGTTTGCGCTCGTGTACCTGTTTACATGCGTGGGCGGGCTTGGTGCAATTTCTATAAATTTTTATCATCCACCACCTTCTCCGAGCTCTTCGTCTCTTTTCAATTCGTTGTTGTTGTTTTTTCCAATAAAAAGTAGGTATGTGAAACCGAACGGAACAGCTGCAATAACATCTACGTCCGCCATGTTTGGTTGTGAGCTTGTTCTGAATTGTGCTCAGATGCGTGTAAACCATATATATAAGGTACACCGGGGGGAAGTGGAGCCGCGATTTTCAATAGTTCAAGTTTAATCTTTCACAAAATCGTTATTTTCTCACCAATTGCTGCGAAATTTTAAACGTACATTGTCTCATATGTTCACTGCACATGTAAATAAATTTGTGACGATATGCTGACAACATTTTGTGTTATAAAAAATTATGCCCAAAAAACGCAATGGGTTACACTTTCCCCGACCTTCGGGGTAAGTGTAAACCATGTGGATATTTTAGCTAAAAACGCGTATTAAAGTATGTGGGGTAAGTGGAATGAAAAGTCAACGTTAAATTATCTAGAAAAAAATTTTACTGTTTTGATTTTTAATTCACATTGAGACTATCAAAAGATACATTGAAGGTAAACTTTCCCCTCTTAAGTATTGGTTTGGGTAAAATCATTATGACTTGGTCCAGAGAAAACACAGAAGTATCTGCGACCACATTAAATTATGGTCTCTTTTAAATCTTGAAAAAAAATCGTTTCCTGGAATGCCATTTCGGAAAGGTGTCTTGATGTTGTTAGCATTAATGTAACGACCGATGGTTTCCAAAACTTCTTTTTTCGACAAACCAAATCCCCATTTCTCCATTATCTTGATTCCTGACGCGATTTTTTCTTCAACATCATGAGGAAGCGCAGGTGCTCTACCCAAAGAACTACTCTTCACGCCACGCAAACCTTTCACACGTTTATAAATGGTTGCTTTGGGTATTTTATAGGTTTTTGCCGCTCTATACATAGTAAGTTCTCCGTTTTTAACCGCCTGTACTGCCGATTCAAGATCCTCCTTGGTGTATTCAGGTGGTTTGGTCTTCCGGATATACGTTCGTGGCATTTTCTTGAAAAATATGGGCATAATTAGAGATAAGAAAACCAAGGAATCAAGAGAAAGATAATGAAGAGTTAAGTGGAACCTACAGGGGGGAAGTGTCACCCTTAGTAGGTGCCATTTACCCCAAGAGGGATTTTTCCGGGGGTAAGTGTAACCCACACGGTTGAACATACAGAAACGTTTAGACCAGCAAAATATCACACAACAGCTGTACCTTAAATCTATATTTGCGATACTCACCAACAACCCACAGAAAAAAGCAATAAGTAATCGTTTTATTTCCAGTTAAATGCACAATCGCTGCACTGCACTTACGACCAAAACAAACACGTTGAAGGTTATTTCACGCTGGCGGGAAAGCCGTATGAGATATGGGTAGTATTGTGATCTGTAGCGCAAGTGCACATTACATTGAAGTGATTCACCGGCAGATGGCACTGTGAATGGTATATTTTAAAATAATTATCGCGATGGGTTCCACTTGCCCCAAATTGACACTTTCCCCGGTGTACCTTACTTCTCTTATAATATATATGGTGTAAACAGCTTGCTTTGTACGCGGTGATTCGCCGCTTACCGAGATGCTTGCCGCGTGTGGAAACCAATGAATAAAGAATACCAGGAAGGAGCATATCGACAATATACGTGCGACCGCGATGGCTTTTGCAAATGGCGGACAGTAGTTTCCTGTTCCAGTGGCGTACCTACCTTACAGTTGTAGAAGGATACAATTATAAAGAATGTTAACGAAAACAATCTAAACCCCCATGTGTCTACTCCGCCTATGACTTTTGTTTAACTAACCTCAAACTACATTCCGATAAAAAATTTGTAAATTTACATGTACTATGTAAAAATAATATTGGTATCAATACTTACACATGAAATGTAATTCCCAAAATTTTATTTTTTTCTGTTTTGGAGCAACCACAAGCACAACAACTAACCATTCTTTTTATGTCACTGCAACACCCACAACAACAATGACTCATAAGTGGCTTTTGCAAATGGCCGACTTCCGTCGCACTCTCTCTCGTATACAACTTGATTGATGCTCCTTCCTGGTATTCTTTATTCATTGGTGGAAACAAATG